GCTAAAGACCTCTCTGCTGAGCAGCTACCCTGCAAAGTTGTGCTTTCAGGCCTTCAGGTAAGTTTTCAACATCTCTGGGATACAGTTGTCAAGACTTAAGAAACTGTGAGCACTTCCGCCCTCCACCCTCGAGGGCACCCAGGTATGCTCTGGGCAGCTGTCCCCAGGTACAGGGCTGCTTCTGAGCCAGTGCAAGGGCACCTCGAGAGTTTATACCTGTTATTAGTCTGTCCGAAAACATCCCCATTTCCAAGTTACTGAGACCTAAAAAGTTACTTGTGCAGAGAGAAAAGGTCAGCCGAAGAAATAATGACAGAGTCACCACAGAAATTTGGATAGAAAACTGTGTCGACAACAGTGTTGCTCTTAATAAAGAAAACGTGTGTTCTTTGGCACCCTGAATAGAAGAGAAAAAAAGAAATCTTTCACTATCCTGGCCATGCAGCCAGGATCACAGCTGCATTGGGTAAACAGACAGGGCTGGAAGGCTCCTGGAAAGCAAAGTGGATGAAGCTACCCTAGATCACAGATGAAATCGAGTGTGTCTGTGACTGAGGTGTAACCAGAAAGGAAGAAGCAGCTTAGCACTGTCTCTGCTCAATAGTCTTTTTAAAAGAGAGAGAAGAATTAACTGGCCTAAAGCCCCTGCCAAGAATCTGTTGCCATGCGATCCATTAGATATGCTCAAATGAGAAGTGCTCTATGTCTGCAAAGCACTTTCAAAGCATGGAGACGCTGGAAATCTCGGGCCTATGAGGGCATCCACTCGGGCTTGCTTTCCCATCCTGTCACTCACTAGCTGTGCAGCGCCGAGCACTTTTCTTCTCTGAGCCTCCACTTGGAGCTCACTGCACCTGAACGCACAGAAATGTTGCATTAGCCCAGTGAAGCATCCTACCAGAAAGCGAGGTTAACTACGGACCAGCAAACAAACAGCCTCGCTTTCTGCCCTCTGCAGAGTCCCACTAAGTGACCAAGACCAGGGACTTCCTTGTTCAGGGATCAGGCTGTGCAACAGTACACTGTCTGGAAAACAATAGGTATTCGCTAGCCACTTGGTGAACAAATGACTTCAAGGATTCCTCCCTGTGCTCAGAACTCAGGGAAGCCAGGATCATTTTAACATGTATGAATGTTTCAAGTGTTCAATTCTTCAATCTTCTTCAAGAAATGGTATCAAGGGCCAACCAGATAGCTCAGCGGATTAAAACACCTGCTTAGGCAGACGCAGGGGCTGGGGGTTTGATCCCCAGCCTACCATGCCAGCCCTGCCCCAGGGCACACTGAGATGACTGAGACTGGGCATGGTGGCATGTGGCTGTAATCTCAGAGCTTGGGAGGCTGAAAACAGAAAAATCACTACAGGTCTGATCTGTGTAGTGAGACCCTGTAGAGCCTGTACTAAACACACAAACAAAAAAGGGGGGGCTGGGTGATAGCTCAGTGGAGTAAGTGCTTGCCTGGCAAGCACAAGGTCCTGAGTTCAATTCCTAGTATCACCAAAAAAAGGAAAAAGAAGAAATAATATCTTTCTTGCTTTCCAGTTTAAAAAAAAAATCGTGCTCAGTCTATTTTTATATTTGAAATTCTAAAACAAAAAGATCCACCCTACCTCCTAAAAAAAGAAAAACCCCAAAACTGAACCATCGCCCGTGGCTTTGTAGCAGTAATTCAGTACAAGCTGCTTTTAGCTTTGCTTTAATTGTAGTGACGTTGGATTAACACCGCAAGCCCGAATGCAGGGCCAGCCCGATGTGTCTGAGTGGCTCACACTTTCATTCTGTCTGCTGGGGTAGAGAAGTTTGGCACTGAGCATTTTTGTCAAAGCCAAACCACTGTACAACTTTTAGCAGAGGAAATCGACATTCCCAGCCCGACTATGCTGAGCACGCAATCTGTTTCTGATTGATGGACTGAGAAATGTTACCATTAACCACCCAGAACATATTCTTTGGTTGGCCCTAAAATGCAAAACCCGGGGATCATGAGAGTCCGGGCCTTCCATTTATTCAGAAAAAGAAGTAGATGCTTCATGAGCAGGAAAATTTCCTAGTGAGCAGACTCATCACATCGTTTATGTAGTATGTGGGAACAAGTGCATTGCACGTTAACAGCTATATTGACCCCTTCTCCAGGTACGACTGACCAGGAGAAATCAGCCTGAGTCTCAAGACCTTAGGGAGAGAAAACACAGGTAAGTAGCATTGGATCCAACGCGCGGGGTCCACAGCCCACATGAGCAGTGCCTCCGTGGTCCCCAGCAAGAACGCATTAGCAACCTTCCTTCCTTCATGGAGTGGATGCCCTGGACTCGCTGCTGCGAGACTGCCTTCGACTGCAGTCTGTCAGCCCGGCCATGCCCGGATGTGCGGCGCCGGGGAGGAAATCCGGAATCGCCTCCGACACAGGGCGACAGGGCGGGGCCGACGTCTTGCCAAACACCAGCAGAGTTCACTGCAGAAACCGCCAGTGGCTCTTACCTTGTTCACACAGTGAGCCGACATAGCTCGGAAGGCAGAGACACCGAAATGTGTTAAAGCCATCCACACAGGTCGCTCCGTTCCGACACGGGTTGGAGTGGCACTCGTCAAAGTCTGAAATAAATAATAATAACATTTAAAGCCCGAAATCCACTTTCATAAAGGGTGGGACAATTCTGTTCAGTGTGAGGGTGACAGGTGAGAAAGGATGGCCAGTTAAACTTGACTGGATCTTGACTCTCTGCATTAACCTAATTTTTTCGTTTACTTACTTACTTGAGACAAGGTCCTCTTTTTCTTTTTTTCTTTTTTTTTTTTTTTTTGGCAGAACTGGGGATTGAACTCAGGCCCTTGTGCTTGCCAGGCAAGCACTTATTCTACTGAGCCATCTCCCTAGCCCCTCTTTTTCTTTTTTTTTAACTGAGATTCAAATTTAACTGACCAGCTATATTTTTATTTGTGGAGTCTGGCAACCTCCAGAAAATTGCAAATCTATTCAGAGTCAGCCACTATTTGTGTCCATGATCCCTGACACAGAGAGAGAATCCACTTCTGAGCTGCCGGGGCTCTGAGGACCTCCCAGGTGAAATCCTCGAGGTGCGCAGCTGGCCCCATAGCCTCGGGGTCTGCCCCTGGGCGTGGGTGTCCTCTCTGTCTGCTCATTTCTGTCGTCTGTCTCTCAGCTTTTCCTGGACGCCGAGTGCCCAGGCAGTGGTCCTCAGAGTGCCCAGCGGCACGAGCACGGCGGAGAACGCCAGCAGTGTGCTTTCCCGCCCAGACTTCAGGATCCGCACTCAGGACCAGGCCCAGCAGCTACTTTGCCCTCTTGTAATCCTGATGCATGAGTGAGTGGTGACCCAATATGGGGTAAACATTTAAATTTTTAAAACTGTTACAGTTAAGGATGCAGGGGTGTGGAACTCCCTTATAAGCCCCTCACTTCGCACACACTTGTCCCACCGCTCTCCCCGTTCCCAGAACAGCTCTGCGGGTTCTCCTTGGAAGTCTTTATGAAGTGTGATTACGAAGCTGAGCGCTGTGGCTGAGCACCACCCAGCAGAAAGGCAGCTCATAAAGCACCTCGGCTCGTCCACCTTCTTGCTGGCTCTAGTCCGATGTCAAAACGATCAGGAATGGTGCATGTTATACAAGGATTCAGGACATGGAAGCAGCCACAGTGACAGCACTAAAGGCACTTGGGAAAGAGGACTTTCAGAACCACATCAGAAAGTGTCAAGAATGAGGGGGTGAGTGAGCTCACAGTGAGGGGAGGCCTCTTGGGGGGGGCACATCAGCAATGTGCCTTTTATTATGATGGACTTTAATTTAAGTATTTACCAGATTTGTGGATCACATCTCACAGGTATCTCAGAGCACCCATGTTGTATATAAGTAAATCTATGGACTTGGGGCCTTCTCAGACCAGGACCTTCTAGAGCTGGCCAGTGTCCGGGCTACAACCCCTCTCTCAGGTCATTCTTAGGCCTATAAGTAAATCTATGGACTTGGGGCCTTCTCAGACCAGGACCTTCTGAGCTGACTGTGTCTGGGCTACGACCCCTCTGCCCAGGCCATTCTTTGGCCTATGTGCATCCTTCCATCTCCTTAAAGTCATCTTTACTGTCAGGGTTTCTCTACCTCAGTTCCTTGTGTCTGCATCTCCCCTCAACCACTGAGCAAATCCTCGCCGCAGTAAGGTCCCTGCCAAGTGCACTGTTTCTAGAACAGATCTCCTTGGTTTCTCCAGTGGAAGGAGTGGCTCTGTGCCCGCAGCATTTTGCCATGGCACTGATAATTTAATTTTAAGGAATGTTTTTGAAAATATATAGGGCCCATTAAATATCCAAGAATCACCTCTCCTGATAACAGCAAAGGCATGAGCTCGCTCAGGGTGGCATGTAAGGGCACCAAGCACTTTCGCATTCACACCCAGTGCTGGTCACTGCGAAGAGCCTCACAGACCTTGACTCACTGACTTCCGTGGGCCATCATGTAGCACAGAACGAGGGCCAGATACATACTGACGTGCCCAAAAGTTTGGTCTTTGTTGTGGTTTCTGTCTAGTTGTCCCCCCAGTGCCTCGTGCACTCCTAGGGCTTTTCAGAGGTAGCTACATCTAGAGTGTGCAGTGCTGGGATAAAGGGGATGATCAGCTCCCTGAGGGCTCCACCACTGCCCGCACCCCAGCAGACAGAGCATCGAGGGGGCAGAAAGGTGGCATTGAAGTTGGTTGTTCTGACTCTAGGGATGTAACTCAGCGGTCTAAGCACCTGCCTGGCAAGCACAAGGACCCGAGTTCAATCCCCAGTATGTATCTTATGCCATGCCGGGCCCAGAACCCCAGGTGGGCCATGCTGGCCAATAGATATGGATGTGGTGACACACACCTGTAATCCCAGCATGGGGAGGCTAAGACAGAAGGATCTCTACAAGTCTGAATTGCATAGTGAGACCCTGAACCAACCAAATAAATAAATAAGTAGTTTTAAAAAAATTAAAGTCCTCCTAAGTGAAGTAAATCAGACTGACATGTGAAAAGATTGTATTGTTTCCTTAGTATGAGAATCTGAAAGAGAAAAAATGGAATTTTAAGGGTACAATGGATACTGGGAAAAGGGAATAAACTCATTCAAAAGGACAGAGTTACTGAGTTGAGGAGAAGGACAAGAGAGGGAGTTGGAGGAAGAGATTTACCTATGTATGTAAGCAGGTTGATTTGGACAAGTGTACTGTGCATTTCTGCTGATCTATAGAAAGAAGCAGTTAACGCTTTAATTTGTTTCATCCTTTCCAATTGCTTGCACTTTTTCTCTTCTTAATTTCTTATACCTTTCTTTCTTTTTGATCTTCCAATTTCGCATGCATATATCTGGTAACATGAATAACTGGTTGGAATCAATACTATGTATTACAACAAATACTGTGAAGTAGGTATTACTTTGCTAAGTGAAATTTTGTGTCACTTGTAATATTTTTCTGTTTTAATTGTAATTTTTACTTGCTTTAAAATATGAAAGAGTAAAAAAATTGCATGCTTGTATCTGGTAATCTGAGTAACTACTTTGAAGACAATAATACGAAATATAATAACCAATGTTAATTTCCTATCATCTTGCTTTGAAATTCTGTACTGTTTTATTGCTTTTATATTCTCTTTAAAATAAATAAAATGTTCTTGAAAAAAAATTAAAGTCCGCTGCTGCTTTGCTGCTGTCTGCTGCCTTGGCCTGCTGCCCCTCTACCACACCACCCAGCCTTCGAGCCAGCTGATTAAGGACTGAGACCTCCACAAAGTGTGAGCTAACTAAACCTTTCTGCCTTTGACTTAGAAGACCATGTATTTTATCTCAATAATGAAGATAAATACTTTTCAAGTATGAAGGCTGGGATTTTGCAATGTTCTGTAGAACTGAAAGGTTTATTGGTGGGTCTTATTCAATAATTTTAAGCAAGCTGCACACCATTAGAAAGTAGCACTTCACATATCCCATCATCCTTTTCTTATTCTTTTTATTCCTTTTGTCACTCATTCTCCACAGAGCACTGACTAGTGTCACCTCACACTGGATCAACTGTGTTGGAGACCTCAGCATCCCCACTGAGAGCCCGAGGCCTGGTGAGGCACCCGCTGTGACCCTGTCCAGAGCCTCTGTCTCAGTAGGTCTGGGGAGGGGTGAGAGGGCACATTTCTACTGTTCTCAGTGATGTTGATGCTTCTGATCTGAGGGCCATGCTTTGAGAACCACTGCCCTGGGCAAGTGGAGTCCTTGGAAAGCAAGGGCGGTATTCAGCCAAATCACCATCAAGGAAAATTGTTTTAAAAGGAAAAATAAGAAGAAGAAGAATACCCAGCACTTGGGAGGCTGAGACAGGAGGATCATCACAAGTTCGAGGCCAGCCTGGGCTAAACAGAGTTCAAGGCTAGCCTAAAATGCATAGTGAGTCACACACACACACACACACACACACACACACACACACACACCAGTGGCCCCAGGCCTCACAGAGTCCCAGTTGCATTAAAAGATGTCAGGGAGCCCCTGGCCCCTTTCCAGGCCTACAGAACAACGCTCGGAACTTAACTCCGCTTAGCACACAGCTCATGCACGCATGGGCTTCCCTGTGACCTCCCACAGATGGCAGGAAGCCCAGCTTCCGGAACGGGCTGGCTCTGGCAGTCCAGATCATCTTACCAAGCTCACACTGGTCTCCACTGTAGCCCGGCACACACGTGCACACGTAGGACACTTCTGTGGGGTAGCAAGTGCCTCCATTTCGGCACGGGTTGATTTTACACCGATCAGGTCCTATCATGTTCAGGAAAGTAAGAAAAACAATTAGGCTCATCTTCAAGGATCCGATAGATTTTAGCATAAAACTGCTCTGACCGCTCCCACAGTATAAGCTTTCCCACAGCAACTTAGAAATGCTACATACATACAGAAATTAACATTTTTACTCTGGAGTGTTTCTTGGCATTATAACTAATTGTTACGAATTGCATCTATTCACTTCTAGGCTTCAGTCATTACGTTTAAACAATACTTTTATACTGTATCTGGCAACTAATATATTCTATGGCAGATTTAGTCAGCATGATAATGAAACTGATTTTAGTCAAAAATGATTACACGTATGTGCACAGGGAATGGAAAATGTATTCTCTGAAGCGGGTTAGTTCATGTGAAATGGCTGGGTACACACAACATGCATTCTTTTAGCGGATTGGCTGGTTACCATCATTTGAATTATTATTGCCTTTTACCACTTAATCTCAGAAACTGTTTGTCTTCGAAAGTGTGCACTGAAGTGTCTTCTGCTACATTAATATGCTTTTTCCAAAAACACGCTCCAAATGTGCGCCTTTAAACTATACTTGAAGAAAAGCAACACAGCGATTAAACTCTACTGCATAAAACAAACCCAAACACAAAAACCTCACCTCAGACGAAACCCCCAAATTTATTATACTTTTCAGATTAAAACATAAGTAGAATGAGCCCTTCTTACAGGTCACTGTAAAGGCCAGATGTGACTCTACAAGATAAACAGTTTTAAATGTATATACCACATGCAAATATTTTATAGCAGTAGAAGTATGTATTTTATTTTCATTCAGCTTATATTAATTTTCAAATATTGTTCAGGACTGCTTAATTCTCAAAAAGCTCAAGAATTCAATTGACAACTAAAAGTTTTACACAATAGTTGCAATAAGGTGGATTGTATCTGGCTTTCAAACATACTTTTAAGAATCATGTCCTGAAATCCTAAAGTAATTACACATGCAAAGCAAATGTCTCACTCTATAGAAGATACTTTAGCCAACCCTACACAGAAAGCAAACCTTCTAAGTGATAAGTAAACTCCGGTCAACCCAGAAAGACACACTTGTGGACACATTCGCTTTGGGTCTCACATTAAAGTTAGGTAAATCTGGATGTACACATCAATGTCTTCAAAACCTGACCCATTTTTCTCCTATGGATTCAAAAAGAATTAAAACTCCTTTGCAATGTCAGCCTTCTCTGTGTGAAAGCGCACTGCCCCAAGCACAAGGTCACAGTCACGGACACAGCTCCATCTGTGCGGAGTCAGATGGCACTCCTGTGACAGTGTTTTGTGAGATGCCGCACAACAGGAAGTCCTCTCACTGACCCCCACACGAGACCCCACACCGAGACCAGGGCAAGGCTGCAAGGCTGCATGGGAACGTGGGTCTCTCTGTGTACCTAAAGTGGCTCTTATTAGAAGAAAAGTTTGCTCTTAGGAATTTTATTTTTCCCTAAAAAATTTCTATTGGCCTCTAGAAGTCAAATCTGCAAGATAAACCGGGAATAAAACATGAAGATTCCGATCTCAATTTCTGATGGACACAGTAGAGTTGGTGACTGGCGCACACTCGACTACCAAACTCCTCTCTCTCTCTCTCTCTCTCTCTCTCTCTCTCTCTCTCTCTCTCTCCTTTCCCTCTCTCTGTCTCTCTCCTCCATGTCCTTCTCTCTCTATCTGTCTCTGTCTTTCTGTCTCTCTCTCTGTCTCTCTGTCTTTCTGTCTCTGTCTCTCTGTCTCTCTGTCTGTCTCTCTCTCTTTCTCTGTCCTCTCTGTCTCTGTCTCTGTCTCCCTCTCTCCTACCCCACAAGGACAAGTTATTTTTGTGTTATATTTTCAACTATGTGATGTACATTCCAACCTAATTACAAACAGTGGGTACTGAACAGGTCATTAAGTTATCAGTTACCGAATGAGAGCAAAAGAAAGAAAACAAAATCCAGTGTCAACCAACTTTGATCAATTTTGTTCAGAAAATATTCCAATCCATTTAAAAAAAATTACACTTTCTGACCACTTTACTCTTTCTGAAACACAAGATAAAGTATCATATCACAAAAACCGAAATTGCTACAATCAGAATAACAATTCTAACAATAGCTGTTACATGAAACATATTTATTAAAATACAACAGTTATTTTCAACCGTCACAGCCCTTAAAGCACTGGTTATCTTCTTCCAGATAGCAGCTAAGTGGTGCTGTTATGTGTGGGTTCCGCGGACAGTGCCATTCAAATAAAAGCGTTCCAGACGGACTCTATAAAAGCTGAATTTTCAGCTTCCTCAGGCTGGATTAAAAAGAAAGTGACTACTAAGCTTGTAGTCCAAACTTTCTGTTTTCTATATTATTAAATGGCAATTGTTGGTTTTTGTAAAGTAGTGGAAACCAGTGAAAGGCAGTAAAAGGCCCGTGGGCCTTGGAGTGGGCCCATGTCTGCCTTTCTCGCGGGGCAGCCTGGGCAGGTGCGTGGCCCTGTGAGCACCTCCACACTCTTCCCTGGCACACGGAGCTAGGAGCAGTGCTTTCCCGCCTTTGGGGAAGACCAAACGACACGACCCCTGTGCAGCAGCGTCCAATTCAGCTTTCAGTGTATTTAATAAACAAAGACACACCTTGACAGGCAAATGCGAATGTGCCCAATGGACGCCGTGACGGCTGGGCACTGGGTTACCACACAGATGCTCTTCAGCAAGAAAATTACCTTAGAGTATAAACTGATCATTAACGTTTCCAAAGCCGTAAGACATTCATTAAAAGGAGTCAGTCCCTCAAATGCGAAAGGCAGAGCAAATTTTGAGGACTGTCAGAAGAACACCCACCCGTGGGAGGGTTTCAAAAAACAAGGATTTTTCATTTTTAACACTAAGATGTCTAAGACAAGACCTATAACTATGCAATGCCTCAGCTGTGAGCAAAAACACACTAAAGTTTTAGTATTAGTTCACTGATCCATTTCACTACTGTATGTTGTTTCTAAAACACAGAAAAACACAAAATACCTCTTAAAGCCCCGGAAAATTCTGCGAGCACTCTCCTCACAACGAGCTCGGATCGGCGGCCTGAGTGCGGCTACAGAAGCCAGATAAGCCTCTCCACTGAGTTCAGGTCACAGTGAAAATTACAGACCTCAGCACCAAGGGCCGGTTGGCAGGTGCGGAAACCCACGCACCAAGGTTGCGGGCTTACCTGGCAGATAGACAGCTGTGCCCTCCACGGCCTCTTCGTGAATGCCAATCAGGAAATGAGTCTCATTAGAAGTTTCCAGAAGGGAAAGTGGTGGCGAGGCGAGCTCCGTGATTAATCCCACCGTGCTTACTGTAGCCTGATCGTTAGAGTCAAGCGCTGTGGCGGGCACATCCTCCTCTGGGGCTGCTACCGTGGACCCCTCCCCTCGGACGAAAGCCGCCGCGTGCGTTCCAGGGTTCGTTTCCAAAGAAGCGGGGACGGTGGGGCTCGCGGAAGGCTGCGGGCTGGGCCGAGGCGCCACACCTGCCCCAGCTCTGGAAAACACAGAGGCAGGAGTAGAATGTGGCCGCGGCGTGGCACCTTCTGACTTCGGCTCCCAGGCAGCTGTAGGAGCAGTTCCAGCCCCAAGGGGTGGAAATCTTGGAAACAGTTCTGTGGCTTCTCCAGAAAATGGACCACTGTCCATGTCTGTGGGGTCTTGATGAGCCTCAGTGGTCCCCTCAGTAAGTAGTTCTGTGGGAGGAGCGTCCACTTCGGATGACCAGGCTTCACTTTCACCTTCAGAAAGTGCTGTGCCAGGAGAGGAGGATGGAGGCACGCTTAGGAGGTCCTGCTCTTCACTTGATGGTCTCAAAGTGGCTTTGGAAATTGGATGAACCTTGTTCTGAGGATGCTCTGGAGACGTCGGAGCTGAGCTGGCATCGGTGCCTGGCAGGACACCTAGCTGGGGAACCTCTGCTGCTTCCCAGGCTCCGCTCCCCGGGGAGACAGGTACCAGAGCGGAGGGTGTCTCTGGGGACAATGCTTCCAGTGCTGGAAGTGCACCCGAGGGGCTGGGTCGTCCCAGCACGTCAGGGGCTTCCGTTAAACTCTGAGCCGTGAGGTGGACCTGAATGATACTTACGTAGGGAGTGGCGTCTATGGCTAACTCCTCGGCCCCTGAGGAAAATTCTGGTGGAAAAGAAGCCCCCACATATTTCTTCTCGTTGTACTCTTCCTGTGTGCCCTCCAAGTGACCCGATGCTGACAGTACTTCACTTTGGTCTGCAATAGCTTGACCATCAGACAAAGTGCTGGATTCAAATATGTCATCCAAGCCTGTTGTTTCTATTTTTGCTTCTTTGATCTCTGGACGAATCGTGACAGATTTACTAGGCATGGGTAGGGATGTCACTGTGGGCAGTAAAATATCTCGTTCTTTTTCTAGGCTAGGGCCAGAGATTTCAGTTGCAGAGTTAAAGCCCATGTGACCTAATTGGCTTTTGTCCTCAGAGGTTGCTGGTTCGTTCTCTGTTGTCTGAGTGTAGCCAGTCAGACCAGTGTCCCCGGAGCCCTCAAATGCTTCCCCAGTTAAAGAAAGGTTGCCAGCCATCTCACGCTGGTCTTGAACTTGGGTGGCTTGCATACCCTCCTCACTCCCCCCACGTGGCTCTGATGGTGGCTCTGAATCTAGGTCTGTCTGCATTCCAAGGATGTCTTCATCTACAGATTTTGTGTGATCAATATCTATGATTGTGGTTGTATCTCTCAGCTCAAGAATATCCAGGATGGGACTCTGTGTAACGGTCAACATTAAATCCTCTTTGTCCAGATCTATAATAATGTTTTCAGTGGCTTTCCCTCTGTTAGGTTTTAAGGTGGAATCTTCAAATCCCACAAAATGATCTTGGAAACTGTCCACACCCTCTTCCCTGGGCCTCTGCGAGGACTCTGGGACTTCAGGGGTGCTAGTTGGGTCAGGGGTGCTTTCTTTCTGCTCCAAACGGACAGGCAGCACCGTGGACACTGGGGAAGGCACATGGGCAGTACTAGCTTCAGCACTTGGGACTTCCGGATGCTTTTCCAGGAATCTGACCGAGACAAATGTGGTGCTTCCTTGCCCACTTGCCTGAGGAGTTCCAGAAGTGTGGACCGAAGCAAGAGTATCCAATTCTCCAGACCCCTCTCCAGAATTTTCATAAAGAAAATCAGATGGCTTCGGTGTTGTCATGACAAATTCTTTGGCCCTTTCAAGACTGTGAGTTCTAGCTAGAAAAATGGTGGAAGAAGTCGCTGTTTCTTTAGTTTCTGTTCCCAAAGCCTTCTCAGGAGAGACTTGTTCTGTTACAGCTTGGGGGCTCTGCATTTGGATTTCTTCTGACCATCTGAGAGTTTTATTAAGAGGATGCTTACTGTCTGTGGAGAAAGAGACAGGTGCCAGAGTTGGCACTTCTGCTGCTGAAACTTCTAGTAAGGTTGTGTTGGCTACTACTACTGCATCAGAGTTGGAGATGTTGTCCATTTTAAAAAGGAGGGATCCAACTTCATTTTCCATTCTCTCATAGTCTTCTATTTTTTCACTTAAGACACTTGTTTGTACATTTTCCACTTGAGGAGTCTGGGGATATAATGTGCTAATGATTTGTTTCATGTCAGTTAAATTGACAAACACTGTAGGCAGAGAGGGCAAAACTTCTTCTCCTGATCCCAGTCCAGAAAATAAGAGATCAGTACTCAAATTGTTAATGTTTGGTTGCATGCCTTTGAGAAAGAGTTCTCCACTTTCTTCCTCTTTAGTGAATGAATCTGTGACTACAGCTTCAGCTGGGGTGGGTTCAGTCACAAAGGCAGAAGTTGAGTGAAACTCTGACCTTTCAGAAGCCTCAGGGAGAGAAGTGTAGGGTTTTAAGGCCTCTGTATCTGGCAGCAGAGTAGAGAAGGAAACTGAAGAAACACCTTCCTCTTCCCCCTGCTTATCAGTACTGTATGTTTTCATTGTAGAATAATCTGTAGTTTGGGGTCCAGTTTCAGTAAGTGTTTGTGAATAAAAAGTTACTTGTTCAGGTGCAAGAGAGCGATGGGCTGATTCAAAAAAGGCATGTTCTTCAATCTTCTGCTCTGAGGCATTTTCACCTTTCATCCCCTGTGTCACGAGATTCCCCTCTTGCCTGGCCCCTATCTGGGCTGGCTCCATTGTTTGGAGAAAATCCACTGAAACTGGGCCATTGCCTTTGACCTCTCCCGTTGCCGTTGGCTCTGTAGTACTCTTCACTTCTGCTCTAGGGGAAATGGTGGGCCTTTGACTGGCTTCATGAATAACACTCACTTGTTCCAGTCCTCGGTCAAAAAATGGGGAATTTGTACCAGAGAAGTTTTCCACTGCAGTGGGAAGCACTGGGTCACCAGAGCTGCTGACCACTGTGGCCAGAGGCTCGCCAGAGCCCTCTGGGGCTGCCAGCTCTTCCCAGAGGAAGGCTGAGGGGCTGACCATAGCCCTGCTGGGTTGCTCGGCATCCCAACTGTGACGGGTGTGCTCTGAAGTGGGCATTGCAGATGGCCAGCTCTGGATAGTTGCAGAGCCTGTGTCTCCAGAGCCCTCCGCTGTTGCCATTTCTTCTTTTGTTACAGGGTGAGATGTTGGGGAATATTCTGCAAAGTCGCCACTGAAATCTTCCTCCAAAGGAAAGCCCTTTCCTTCTCCCCTGTGGTGTGGCACTTTGGGCAGTGCTGAAGTCAGTTTTCCCTTGGGTGCTTGGCTGATAATTTCCACAACATCCTTGTCCAGAGCAGTAGTCAAAACTTGTCCTGCGGGCTCAGAGAAGAATGTGGTTTCCACGCGGGGAGACCAGCCACTTGCAGCTTCTGTTGTGGCCTGAGTTTCAGACTCTAAAGTAAATGAAGAAAAGGTGGTAGTCTCAAGGTCCACAGCAGCTTCCCCAGAGCCCTGATCCATCAGAGAGCTGGCACTCCCTGGGAGAGTAGCTGGCCCTTCCTGCACCCCAGCTCGGCTGCTACTGCTGTGCTCAAAGGGCTGTGCCCCCGAGTTAACTAAAGAATCTGGCTCTGTAAAGAAAAGCGGAGAGCTAGACACTGCATTTCCAGGCTGTGTGGGTGTTGTCAAGGATAGGACACTCTGCTGGATGGCTGTACCACTAGGGGCAGCTACATTTGAACTGTCTAACTCAGGGGACAAAACCAGTTGATCTGATCTCTGGGTTGGTGACAGTAGTTGAATTGTAAATGCTGCACCAGTAGTTCCCTCTTCTTTCTCCTCTTCTGTTTGTTCCTTTCCCTCAAGAGCTTTACTGAAAACCCATGTGGAAGTATCTGTTTCATGTAAAGATTCGGGAGACACCACTGCTGCAGAGGAAGGCCCAGAACCAGGATAAACAGAGGTCACAACCCTGTCAGAAAAGCTTTCTGTGATTAGGCCCTTGCTGGTTCCCAAAGTTGTAAGCACATCTGTAGTCTTTCTCTGTGATAAATCAGCGGCCATGGGGAACAGTCTGTCTGTGTATTCTTCTGCTTCTCCAGAGCCCTCTAGAAATGGAAGCAAAGAACTCCCTGAGTGCTCTACAGCTTGGCCAGGGGCTATTTCAGCCCAGCTCTCTGTAGCAGACCAGAGGTCATCAGGTTGTGGATTTCCTGCTAGGGTGACTGAGCCTTCCTGTACCATAGGATCCAGAGAACTTGGAACTACACTGCTTGGCATGGACGTGACAACAGCACTGTTTGCAGCCTCTGTAGCCCTTGAAAACACCATTTTCTGAGAAGCTTGGCTGATGGTCGCCTCTCCCGAAGACTCTTCAGGAAATGGAGGTACAGGCGCAGGGTTGCCACGCGCCAGAATTTCAAGTCCAGGGCCTGGCTCTGTGGCTGACTCTGTGCCCCCTGGTCTTTCTGCCCCATGGAAAGGAGCTGTAGGGAAAACATCAGGCTCACCACTTGAAAAAGTTTCTGACATTTTGGGGTAAGTCTCAGGTCTCCATGTAATTTCCAGAAATTCATCTGATTCTTTAGATTCATTAGGCTTCAAAGCGTTAGATAATTCTGTTTCCGGTATCACAAACTGGTGGACGTCACTTTGCGAGCTGCCTGACAAGTTCTGAGAAGGTGCCACACTTTCGTACTGGCCACGCCTGGCTTCCTCTGCCTCTGGGTCCTTGGGCACAGTGGTGACCAGGTGTTTCCCGTTGATGTACTGCACAGATGGGGTGGTGGTCACACCAGTAGTGTTTGCACAATCTTCCTCCTCCCCTCCATCCTCCTCACTGTTGTACAGGTCTATTTCAATTATATCAGGGTAAATTCCATCAAACAGACTTTGCACGGGGTCTGTCTCTTCACTACAAGGTTCATCTTCTTTAGATTCTGAATCTATTGGATGACCACTTACACTCATATCACTCATTCGACCTGAAAAAAACAAAGAGTTTTCACAATACTTAAGTGAAAGGTTTGGCAGAGTATGACAGAAGAAATCGACAGCAAGGCTGATCACATTTACACACAAGAGAAGACTGGAAGCTTTCCATATTCAGTGGTCATGCTACACATCGGTCTGTCTTCGAAACCTGTTGTCCTATATTAACAAAGAAAATAAATCCCATTCATGACTGTGGGAACAAGTTAAGAAAACTCTTCAGTGAGTCTCACAAAACAACAACATCCTTAACATGAAACAAGAAAGCATATGCACATTATAATCCTGAAAGACAGCAATGTAAAACTAAATCTTAAGACCACTTGCGGACCATCCACAAAGAGTAGTTATTGTTCTGTATTTGAGGGAGACACTTAGGTGGTCTGTATCCAACAAGGAACTGGGAAGAGCTTCCTTCAGGATTCTTCATGAGCTGACCAATAGAAGCTATTCTTGGAAGAGCAAAAAAGAGCTATTCATAGCCTATTCCAAATGCAGTGACAATCCCTGCCCACGGCACCAGTGAGACAAGAGCTCTGCCACATCCCGTCCATAGGAACAGGAAGTCCTGGTGGGGCCAGCTTGCTGAAAAGACCCAGAAGGAAAGCAGAGCCTCCCGTACCTTTACACCGTTAGCCTTTCTGGGATGTGGCCAGGACTAGGTCACTCTTCATTGTTGTTAGGAATATATTCTCCAAAGAAAGTTCAGGAGTCCCATCTAAATAGCGTATTCCAATAATACCTGTCATCAGAGCATCCCCTGGATTGTAAATTCAAATGGCATCATCCAGGAATCTCGGTGGATTTTTCTGTCACCAGAAATGTACCAGCCAAGCTCTGCCTCAGGCCTCACCCTGGTACTGCCACTACCGCTGCTCGGCTTCATCCAGCCCACCTGGCAGGGGACGTGGACTCCCTGCACCATGAAGAAGACACCAAGTCCTGCAGTGCCACCACACTCCACAAAGGAGCTCAACCGCAGAGCATGAGCTCAGGCACACGTGCTCAAGCTGAACCAGAGGCGGGTCAGGAGGAGTAGCTGGGGCTGAGCAGACCTGCCCTCCACACCATCCGCAGTGGAGAAGATACCTGTTTTCTCCTGGGCTTTCTCAGCTGCAAAACATCACCTGCCTTCAAGTGTGGAGGGACCGATATCAGCACCAAGTCACTCATACTTCTGCCTGCTACGCATCGATATAAATACAGAAGTGCTGTATGAACTAGCAATAGAAACTCCATGATGTCTTATCAAAGCTCTTTAAACTAAAAAAAAAATAAAGGTTATCAGACTTTGATGTATACCCGGAACATGTCCAAGATTTAGTTCTCTGTTTTCTACCTCACATAAAGACATTAAAGAGAACTCCACTTGGGATCCAGTGTGCCTTCACCAATTTCTGACTGTGCGCCGCTGGGCTACACTCTTACCCTTACTCTGTGCGCTCACGATTTCATTTCCACACAGCGCACTGCATTTCCTGCATCCCCATCTGATCCCATGCAGACGTTCGACGGCGCAGCTGTGCAAGCTAAGGCACAGGGGACACAAATGAAGGAGAACATGGTTCCGTCATAAAGAAAAGGGAGATCGATGCCCAACCTCCATGCGCTACAGAAACCAAGAACAAATGCAGGTGAACTTTGGCACAGACAGCTCTGTCAAGGTCAAGAAAATACTTGGCCCTTTTAATACTTGGAGCAACTAGAAAGAATCAGTTTGGTCAGTGCTGGGCCACAAAAGTTGTTACGCTGACCTTAGCATGACCACTGGGTACATTTCCAAAGAGGACATAATCAAATCTTCAGATAACATCTTAATGCGGTTTACATTAAAGATAAGCTTTATGCACTGAAAAGGGGAGTAAAGTGCTTAAACTGCATGACAGAATGGATGTTTCTTGCCTTCTGCACACATGGACCTCTGGAAACGCTGCATCAATGAGCGAATCATGAATCAGGTACCTTCTCATTATTAATAATATCTGAGATAGCTGAATAAAGCCAACCTCACTAATATTTTCCAGAACGTCATGGAATTTATCTGGAGCCCCTAAAACCTGTCTGTATGAACCTGCTCCGCCTCATTGTGCATGAAACCCTGGCTCATTAGATCATCAGGCACAAATGAAACAAGAGCTCCCAATGCATAAGTGTTGCATAGGCTAGCCAAGCTCGCACCTACGTCCTCTTCACTCCACAGTGCCCTTCAGTCACCTGCAGAAAGAGTCCCTAAGTTCCATGTGGAGCAGGTAAAGAATCTCTGCTGCATTCTGGACCCTTCTATAAGGGTGGAGTCAAATTTAAGTAAGAAGCCAAGCTTCTCTGCATAACACAACGATCAATAAGGGAGCGCTGCTCAATAGCGTGAGCATACGGACTCTTGGCCAGGTGGGGCTGAGACACTCACGGTTACTATGGATTCGCACGGGCCTCTAAGCAGATGCCTTATTTTAAAAACTAAAACTGACAGAGCCATGTCCCAGTGTCACCTTAGTGAGCAATTACAGGTGGAGGGGCTTTGAAGGGACCTTAAGAGGGTAGGGGAGAGAGAAGTGAGCAGGCAGGAAGACATGAAGGTGTGACTCAAGCGGGCCCACATGGCAAATGTTAACATTGCAAAGAAACTAATGGATGGCCACCATGCTGCGTTAGGTGTATCTTTTTCTTTTTACTGCTCTGGCAAGACCAACTCATACTAAGTCTACTTGAATCTACTCATTAGAGACCATGGCATTCGTTTTAAGTTCTCTGATTTTAGTTCCAATGAACGGAAGTGATCGCTCCACCTGGGCAAAGAACTCTAAGAACTCCTAGCGCTCATACACCTTTTTAGCACTTTGGAACACCATTTCACCAAAAACATAATCCAACCTGTCCAACTTGGCAAGCCAAAGTAAGTGTCACAATACTTGAGTCACAGCCACTTAGACTGGTCAGTCCGCCTGCACATCGTAGGCCCAGCACTGCTCTGCTCAGGTTTTCCCTGCAAAGCCAAATGCAATTCAGCACCCATGGGTGCTATGCTAAACACATTTCTCTTGAGGAGCCAGCCACTGGCACAAGATTGGCTAAGCACCTAATAGGTGCCAGACCCCATGCCTCACACGGGCTTATTATCAGCTCTACAAAGACTCATGAATGCCTTCTAACCGCATCTGTTGACACAAACATTCTTGCCAACAAGTTAGAGAACTGGACTAACTAAACTCTCTCATCCTTGCGTTGAGAGGAAACTTGCTGAGTATGCATATCACAAATATATCCATCATTAAATTTAGAGCAGGATCTGTTCCTCAGCTACCTCCCAAGTCTTTGATCAGATTTGCCTTCAGAGTAGCAAAAAGCAGAAACATACTACTCAATTTAATGCTGTGTTTTTCACTGCGCCCTGACCCTGGCATGACCAGAGAACCTCACCACACCATGGTAAGCAGTAACTCTGAGCAAAACCTCACATAAGTTACATGCTCATTTGATCAGTAGCATCAGCTGTTCTTTCTAGATAAATGTCATTTTGCGCACTTGAGGCTTTTCATATTTTGTTATTGCATACCCATGAACAGTAAAATGGTAACTATAAAGAAGCTAACTAAAGCATCATTTAAGTTATTTTTACAACAAGAACAACTGAATTTTGCATCTATAATACAAATCACTAATACAACAGAATCTGATTCCCTATGACCCACGTGTTGTGGTCCCATGTTGTACTAAACGCAACTTAAGTAAATGAACAAAGCAAAGTGAGTTAAGATCATTGATTTCCTTTTGCTGAAAGGCATATTCTCGCAACTGAGGAACTCATACTCACACTGTTTCTTGATACCGTCTCGCACGGGTAGTGACTACCAAACGGCTGACAGTGTTCTGCCAGTGGCCTCTGCGGGTCGATCCCCTCCTGGCTGTCAGTATTTGTGCTTTGTTTCCACACTGCTAACCTTTCACGCCAAGGAAGGGGCGGCGGCACTGCTGAGAAGTCTCCCTACTGTGCGCACAGGCCGTGCGTTCCCCACAGCCACATGGCCCGAATCCCGGGCGCTAATCCCTCTAGCTCACCATTCCTGCGGCTCTGCTTTGTTTACTCACCCTACAGAATTACCTCCTCATCCCCTTTCCTGTCACCACCCCCACCCACCACATGTATTATTAGAGGATCGCAACAGCTGTAATTACTGCAAACCACAACAGCTTCTTTGTGGAGTGCAGGGGGCTGGGTACCTGTTCCATTGTGCAGGGGGTGCCTCCTTCCAAAGCCACGGTCTGCTTTATTTCACACCAAGCGGGCAACCTGATCCAGTTATTGACATTCCAAGCTCTCCGATGAACAGGTCCTTATAAAGGACTGTTCTATTTCAGAGTTTTCCTCTAAGGATAATATAACTTTTATTTGGACTTCAGGAGTCAAGACACAGAACTCTACAGAGTGTGTGTATAATCTTTTCTGTGTTTACATGAATGTATTTTAACAGCTTGACTCCAGTACACTGGTGCCATGGTTAATAGGTTTTTTAATGGCATTTCACACAAAGCTTTATTGCTAGCTGCCCTCAAGTATTTGTAAGTATTTGTAAGTACTCCATGGCAGAGCTCTGCAGACATAGCACAAGTCTTCCGGTCACACCGCTACAGACAGAACACATAACTGCCGAAAAGCAGCAGCAGAGAGCTAAAGTTCATGTTCTCTTTGGGGAATTGTACAGTTGAAGTGAAAGAGCTTTTAATTAAATGTAAATTATAATCTACTCTGTCAGATATATGAGGATTGCGTTCCTTTATTAAAATGGAGCTGATTCAAATGTACAACAAAAATATGTCATTTAGTTAATTTAAACTTTAGTAGATAGCCACACTGATATGCTTAAGAAATACTTGCAGAATTTAAAGAAAGTTTGAAATTTTCTAAGATATTCAGATTTCTAGACATATACCTGTACATGCAAGTGTTTTAATTTCATATATGTCTTCTATATTTTCTTAATGAAAATAAAATGTT